TATTTAGTTTTTTTATCACCTTTTCTAAGACATACCAAGCGTCTGGCGCGGGCGCCTCGCAAGTTAGATTTTTTAGGTCAGAGCTTTTAGATCTTGCTCACTGCGGGGTTTTTTCAAAAGTTATAATAGATTTACACTATGATTTATGATTAGGCAAGTTTATAATTTTCTGCGAGAGTTCCAGGGGGCTGCCCTAGTAATTTAATCAATATTTTGTGATTAGCTACAAAACACTTTATCAGACCATAATTTAGTTACCTAATATTTTTAATATTTTGCATCATCCGCTCCAACTTATACTTAGCTATGATGACTCATATTCTAATATGTAAAGCAAGCAGTTTGCCTTGTAAAGGTTATTGTCATTGAGGACTACTATTTTTTAAATTTTCCCTCAGTTGAACTTTGTTAGATATTTCGTTGATATCAAGGTAGATTTAATCAATAAGAACTATCTCCGGTAAAATTGTATCATCATTATCATTTAAATTAACTTCTTGCGTAGCTGTTCTTAGCTCTGAAAATAACTCAGCAAGTAGGTACAACAAAAATAACTTGTTTGATTGTAAGTATTGTAACTTCGTTTCTAGTGCGCTCTTAAGTGAAATTTATGACAAAATCGCCGGAAAGCGCGGGAGCTCCCTTGCTTCGCAGTGACAGGCACTAATGGCACTACGGTAACCGACGTCATCAAAGTGGGAGATTTTTCTCTAATACAGTTCTAATCTACTATAAACCTACCTATCTAAGGCTGAGTTGCACCACCTAACTTTGACCGTAACTTTAACGATAACCGGTGTTTTTTGTATGGATTTTGACATACTTCTGAGGTTTGTCAAAGTTAAAGTAATGGTGCAACCCAGCCTAAGGGTGGATTCGACCAAACAAGAGTAAATATTAATATCAGAATAAATCGTCAGTTTTGATACTGAAACTGTCAATGTGATAGTTTTATACCAGGAGTTATTCTCGGATAAAATTTTGGTTGAATCGGGCCTAATTAGGTAGAATTAATTACCGGCGCAGCACTGCTGTAGATTTTTATCGGAATTCGTGCTTGGCTTATCTAAAAACCATCATTTTTTGTAGACTTAAAGTTGTTTTTCTCATATTCCAAAGTTGGAACTTGCTCACCTGTACCTACTACCACCTCTGAGAGTTTATCCTATTACCTCTGACCGTTACTGCTTTTGCCTTTTTGTCAACTACATAAGGGCTATCGATGATCTTGCCTTATGTATTTAACAGAGATTTGTAATTCCCATTAACCCAGCCGAACGTTTTCGCAACCACTTCGCGATTCGCACTTAATTTCATACGCGATCCGCTAGCCGAAGGCCGCGCTGTCATTGCCAAGGCCCGCACACTCCCACGACCGGTTTTTGTTAACGTGGAGCCAATAATAAATATCATTAAAGACGTAGTTGAGCAGTAGGTCCACTCAACAAAACATCACGGTGAAAATAACTCAGCAGACCTGAGAACAAAGTAGGTATTTTCATTTGAGCTGAAAGTCATTCATTTATTTCTTTTTACATAGTACTTACTTAATCCGGTAAAGTAACTGCGTTTGTAGGTACCAGCGTCTTCTTAGAATTACCACACGATTGTCTCAAAATGATGTGTCATAAAGAGCCCCAAATGCCACCAGACATCCTTATTTTGTAATTGTGTAGTAGGTAAATAATAGTGGTCCATATTCTATTTTTTTTTTTAAATAAGCTCTGTACAATATTATTTTGCAGCAGCTATAAGTACCTACCTACTTGGAGGTAGGTACATAATTCATCGGTGAATCATTAAGATCAAGTTTAACCGAATGAGCATGCTGTTAGGTTTAAAATTAATTTCCTTTATTATCATTTAGTAAGACTACTTTATTGTTCTGTATTGTGATGCTGGGGATCGCAGATATGGAGACATATTCATGCATCGCTGAGCTGGAAAACGGCGGCAGAAGATTGAAAAGAATTAATACCAGCCCTACCTACTTATACTTATAATCATGGTATTAAGTTTGGCCTAGTAAACGGTAAGTCTGGCAGCTAAATACTTAGGTACCTACCTAGCTATGATTGATGGGACCCGCAAAACGTAGGTAGGTATTTCTCCCGATTGCAGAAGACGTATTATGTATTTTAGACTAAAGAATTTATTCATTTAAGAAGAATCAGCCAACTTCAAAGAATATAAAATAAATCTTCTTTCAAGCCTCCAGCGGATCACACATATCATGGTCTTCCTATCCTTTTATTAGGTCACAAGCCACATTTAACTGTCTACATCTGGCAAGTTCAAGTTCACAGGTCGTTACACCGCTGCACCGTCAAGCGGGGTTGCCCGGAGCGTTTTTATGGTTTCCCTCTTATGTAGGTACTCGTCGCCACGCAACCCTGACGAGGGCAAGGACGAACCCGGCCAAGGGCAACCCTACGCGTGCCAAGCACGGCTTTTACTTTTTAATTCAAAGAAATTAGGTCGATGTGCCATTCAACCCCTTGAAACAAAATTTTGGCTAAACCTAAACAGTTTTAACCTCAAATCATAGACTGACCTTCTATGATCTGAGGTTTTAACCAAGGATGGTAAAATTCACCTTTCAAGCTGTAGAGAATTCAATAAATGATTTTCACATACCTAGGTCTTGAAACTCCATATTAAAGCTTGTCTCTTTGGTGCAATAAGGGCACTTAGTTCGGGCCTTTGCTTTTAATAACCTACTTAGGTACAATAAGTAAGAATAATAATTTAAGAATCCATTCCAACAAGGCTCAAGTAGTTAGGACGCAACAATCAAATATTATGCTGTGCCGACTCGCCTGCTGTAATTATGAAGTCTGTAAATCTAAATTATGTAAATACAACGATTAGATAAAATATGACCCTATTTTTAGTTACACAAAGTAAAACATCGCTATGAAAATAGACAATTATCATTATGGATAAGCAGGCCATATCAAAAAATGGTTCAGGGCAGCCAGAGTTATGCAATGAAAGTGAAAAATAACAAACTTGACATTGGCATCGTCGTGATACGGCTTACGTTGATGCGGTCTTGGCCCTGATCCAGACAGAAAAAAGAACCAGCAACACTCTAATTTTAAATTTTCCCACCAAAAATCCTATAACGTTGCGACGCGTGTAAATTAATCTAATCGAAAACAATCGATTATGATTCAAAAAATAAATAAATATTATTAGGAATTTCTAAAACTTAAGAATTATAAAAATACTACATTTACCTATAGTTTTTATAAAACTAAATATTATGTTTTCACAATATGGGAAAATATAAAAATATTTGATAAATTAGTACAATATAATAAATCATAACTTAATAAAATGTAATCAATTTCAAAGATATTGAAAATTAACCTATAGTTTTTAAAACCAATAATCAACTAACGAGTGATAATTTTCTATACCTACCTATGTAAATTATTACATTATCGGTGCTGAGTGTGAACAATGACAATTAATATGATTATTCCTGTGACTGTGATCAATATCTATGCAGTCGTGCCAGGTTTAGTAATTAACTGCATAGCAATAATCCTTGGATCGGCTTCATTTGAAATAGCACTTTGATGATAGTCAAAATCCAAAGTCAATGTGAAAAACTGGCGGGCAGTTTGCCGGCCAGGCGAGCATCACGGCAAGGCCAAGGTTGGCAGAGGAAGGGCTGCGGTGCGGGCGCGGGGCGACGCGGGCTTAACGCTACGAGCGCTCCGGCTCTCAGACCATTCTGCACCTCGCAGTCGACTCTGACGGTTGTTCAAGTGCCAGGTAAGCCTCGGCCACTTTCAATTTTAATCTACCGTCGAAGCACATACGTATCTACCGCCGCTGTCGTGCCCCTGTCACTTTTCCAATCGGTTTTCTATTTGATGTGTGACAACGTAAACCATTCGAGATGTGAAAGATAACGTTAAGTGGTGCATTTCACCTTATCAGTGGTTAGTGGAAGAAATAGGTGCAACATTCAAACATCGCCCGCTAAGGTAACCGGTAGCGCTAGCCGAGGGAAGTTTCCCTCCGAAAAGTTTTAAAGCGGTTCCCGAAGGGCGGGAAGCGTGAGGCGTGCGTGCTGCGTGCCGCGCATCGATCGGCCCGACCCTCGCCCTCACCACTCCCGGCTCCGATACATTCATTTGGACAAAATATCATTCCATCATTGCATTTAGTATTCTCCATTCCTTTTATTTATTTGCAGTAGTTTTTCGTGATTTAGTGCATGTTTTAGGGGCTAGATAAATATAAATCGTATTTGTGAAAATGGGTGGCTGTGCAACGAAAGAAAACAAGGAAAACAAACCGGCAGAGGATGCCGACGGGTGCGTATTGTCTGCGGCCGGCATTTATCTCGCGTGTCGAATGCATAAATTACTTGATTATGACCTCTTAAACCGCTTATTGTAGTTAAAACTGTGTGTGTTACCCATCTTATGACTTACCTTATTCAAAAATTACAAAATGTAATTAAATTATTTCATCTGTGTAAATTGAAAGCTATTGGGTTGCGAACAGCCACATTTTTAGTAATACCTACCTCGTCAAAATATTTTAGTAAGTTTTTATATTTTATCTCAATTATTATGTAGGTATTGATTAGAGTGCTATCGCATTAGGAATAGATTTAAATTCGTGATCTCAGTATTATCTCAGTACACCGAGATTAATTCACACATTAATATGTGAAAATAGTGTGCCTAATGTTGTGCGGTGAATTCATTCAATTTGGTTTTAGAGTATCCTACCCTTGGTCTTGTAAAATTATTAAGTACAATCGCCCATGAATGCACTTTAGTGATTTTCTATACCGGTGTTTTGCATTCATGCTGGTACCTATAGGTACGTTATCATGTTCGGTATCATTCGTGGAACGATAAGTGGATACCGTAAAACCGTAATCCGACGATGGCTAATTATTATTGCAGCACCTTCTCGAATACAAGTTATTGGAAATAAGTAACAAGAAACTCGCGATAACACGTTCGTTCACTGCTAGCGAGTGGGAGGTACGGCTGCGCTCTGTGAAACAGCACCGGTGCGCAGTGAGCTGACACATCCGTTCGACTTGCGCGTGTCGGTCAAGGCGACCTCTGGCTAAATTACGTAATTCCACCACAAATTCAAGTGAATTCTTGGGTGTGTTCGAAAATAATCCCAGAACCAGACAGTCCGCGAAGCACCCTCCTTAGCTATAGCTGTAAAATCCTCCCGTACCCCTAACAAGTGGCATTTGCAATACATTTACTATGAATTATAAACTCAAAGTAACAATCCCAGTGGTCGTTTGCGGTGGCGCTGTTCTTGCATATTACCTCATCAAGAGGTTTGTGAATTAGTTTCTTGCATAAGTGTCTTTTTTTTTTTAATTTAACTAGTTGTTTCAATTTTCTTTATCAAATTATAAAGTACCGTCAATTTTCTAATTGCTTTTTCCATAAATGATTTTTTAATTATTAGGAAAACATTGAATCGAATGTTTCAAATTTTAGTTTATTTTTTTGTTTTTATTTATTTAGTTCGTCGACTCCACAACTCGATTCAGGGAGTGAAGGGTACGTCCCTATTTTTTTCATTTAAAAAAAATATTTACCGTTGACGTAATCGAACGAAACCGCCGCGATTTTGTCGAGTTTTGAAAATTTTTTGTTTATTGCAAGAAGAAAGAAAACTTTCATTCTTTCGAGGAAAATGTGTACCCGAGCAACATGTGCAGCTCTAAAAGCGTTAGAACCAGTTAATAATTAGGTTTAGTGCAGTTTACATAATTGTCAAAATGTTGTGTAACATAAGCCGATTTATTTGCAGGAAAGCCGCAGCAATGGTGGACGCAGCAACCCTCGAGAAGTTGGAGGCTGGCTTCAGCAAGCTGGCCGCCTCTGACTCCAAGTCACTGCTGAAGAAGTACCTGACCAGGGAAGTCTTCGATGCTCTCAAGAACAAGAAGACCTCCTTCGGCTCGACGCTCTTAGACTGCATCCAGTCGGGTAAATATATTTTACATAATATTTAAAAGATGAAATAAGCAACAAATTGGCATAGATATAAAATTATGATAAAATCTAGATACCGGCTACAGTCCATTATTTATCAATTTTTGATAAGACTTGTTATCTGAAATTCAGTCAATTGTTTCATTAGATAGGTTTATATTAGAACAATGAGCTCAAATGAATTTCATTAAACAAAAAATAATTTAAACGGTTCCCCAATAAACTTTATAATGACCGATTCGTTTATCATCTTTCAGGTGTTGAGAACTTGGACTCTGGTGTCGGAATCTACGCCCCTGACGCTGAGGCGTACGTAGTCTTCGCCGACCTGTTCGACCCCATCATCGAGGACTACCACAACGGCTTCAAGAAGACAGACAAGCACCCCGCCAAGAACTGGGGAGACGTCGAGACCCTCGGCAACCTGGACCCCGCCTCCGAGTTCGTGGTCTCAACTCGCGTGCGCTGCGGACGCTCCATGGAGGGCTACCCCTTCAACCCCTGCCTGACCGAGGCCCAGTACAAGGAGATGGAAGACAAAGTCTCCTCCACCCTCTCCGGCCTCGAGGGCGAGCTCAAGGGCACCTTCTACCCGCTCACCGGCATGTCCAAGGAGACCCAGCAGCAGCTCATCGACGACCACTTCCTCTTCAAGGAGGGCGACCGCTTCCTGCAGGCCGCCAACGCCTGCCGCTTCTGGCCCACCGGCCGCGGCATCTACCACAACGAGAACAAGACCTTCCTGGTGTGGTGCAACGAGGAGGACCACCTGCGTCTGATCTCGATGCAGATGGGCGGCGACCTGAAGCAGGTGTACAAGAGGCTGGTGACCGCCGTTAACGATATCGAGAAGAGGATCCCGTTCTCGCACAACGACCGGCTGGGTTTCCTGACCTTCTGCCCGACCAACCTGGGCACGACCGTGCGTGCGTCGGTGCACATCAAGCTTCCCAAGCTGGCGGCCGACAAGGCCAAGCTGGAGGAGGTGGCGTCGAAGTACCACTTGCAGGTGCGCGGCACCCGCGGCGAGCACACCGAGGCCGAGGGCGGCGTGTATGACATCTCCAACAAACGCCGCATGGGACTCACCGAGTACGAGGCCGTCAAGGAAATGTACGACGGCATCGCTGAACTGATCAAAATCGAGAAGTCGTTGTAAGGAGTCTTTCGATCTCGCGCTATCAGTATTTTTTGTATTATTTATCGTTTCATGTAAGGAGTTAAAGTATCGGATGGGAGGGTCGGCGGACTAGTCAGGCGCTCCGCGCGCCCGGGCACGCAGGCGGCCCTATATTATACTGTTTTCGTAAAAGTATTTTCTATAAGGAAATGGAAAATAAAGACAGCTAGCATTAAGACCAATACGGTTTATTATTTTGTAGAAACCTAGTCCCCTAGTTCCTAAAGTCCGATCCTGTAGAACACAGACAGAAGAGTAGGTATTCAAAACTCTTATATTCAAGTATGTATTTCAAATCTAGAGCACCTACAATAAATAATTTATACTGGGTGTGATACATAATTTTGATATTGATGAACATCCTACATCAAGGATTATACCTAAAAGTAATGGACTGTCCTATTCATTACATTAGATCCTATTTTTATGCTATTTTTATTTAAATCTTTGGTGAATCTGCAAAACAATCGACGCACATCCTATTTATATTGCTGGACACCAATAAGTATCACATGATATATTTCACTGTTATAAATACTTTCTTCAATCACTTAACATGATCAGTGGGGTTTGGTTTCCGCCCGGACCACCGCTAGCACCATCTGTGGAAAGCTTTGCGTCAAAGTTTAGAAAACGCTTCTTCTGTGCGTCTAGACAAAGTGCACATTAATCACATTATAAATAATCGCAAACCATATTAACCACTCGAAAGGCCTTTTTTTGTATGGAGTTATGACTGATTCGATTTTCAATTCGATCAAAAAGTGCAACTTGATCAACTTATGTAGGGGGGCTGTTAGATAATAGCAGTTAATATTTATTTATATTAATTATGTTGCAAACACCAGTAATTTACCTGAGTGTTTTTGACGAAAATTAGATTTTTGGGAATAGATGAATGATCAGTCAGTCACAGACACGAATCAAGCAAGATGTTTCAAAAGATGATTAAAAATGCAAATAATTGTGTCATTTGCTACCTATAATGATTTATGGAATCACAATCAAATAGCATCAAAAAGAATAATAAGTTGTATTGTAACAAAAATATTGTACCTGTGATAAATACTAGCCATGAAGTATTAAGTAGCAGTTTATCAAATTGTCACATCACTTCAAGCTGTCAACAATTGACGTTTTGTTTTGATTTGACGGGGGTTGATGTCATTTAAAAAACGTAAACAATAGAAATTCACGATGTCGACGCCGAAAGTTGAAAAAGACTTGCATTTACCATTATCTAGAGTGAAAACTATTATGAAAAGTTCTCCAGATGTTGAAGCTGTTGGTCCTGAACCTTTATATTTAGTTACCAAAGTCACAGTAAGTGTTTTTGGGCCAAACATAACCTAACCTTTTAATTGATGTTTTCGTTACTAAAAACTAATTGGTTTGCATTTAACTCGTCTATTACGATCTGTATTCTCTATTTACACGTTTTCACTGCTTAAACACATCCAATTTTAAATGACCCTAGATTTTTTCAATAATTACGAGTTGTTTCCAGGAACTCTTCGTAACGGATTTAGCTAAGAGAGCATTTAAAAATAGTAAGAACAACTTCTTGGAGTACAAACACATTGCAGAAGTAGTGCAAGAAGACGATACGTTAGATTTTTTACGGGAAATAATGCCTAGAAAGATAACCGTGAGGCAGTTTAAAGAGATGATGGCGAAAAAGGCGGCAAAAGGCGATCTATCTGACGAGGAGTCGAGCGAGCAATCGAGTGAAGAGTACAGCACTGATGAGAGCACGAGTGGGAAGGAGACAAATGATCAAGACTGACGAAGGAGTAGTTTATTTAGGTAATGTTTTGCATGATCTGGAATATGTATGTCAATAATTGTCACTGTTTTTGCCGAAGTTTTGTGTATTTCTTAGACTAGAATACATTGGATCTTTGTCATCATTTTAATGTACATGAGATGTATCTCTATCCATTGTTGATGTATGAATTCTCATTAGTTAAATACTTTGGTGAAATTTTTAAGTGATTGTTTACATTGATGAAGTGAGTATAAATGAAATGATTTGATTCTGTAATATTTAATTAAAACATACTTATGCCCACTCCACATTCATTCTTTATCATTCCAGGTAATTTTTAAGGTAGGTCACTTGCCATTACCCTACTTAAAAGCACTAAACCAAACTTATGATTTATTTATAAAATTGTGAGAGTAGCGATCCAACTAAATATTATTTCGCTTGGTAATCAAAGTTGTTTTTATGTAGTGGATCCATAAAAAGCTTAATGTCTATCATTGCTGGCGCAGTCTGTAGTACTTTAATCAAATGTGACTTTTGTCACTTAGATTTCATGGTACTGTAACAATGAATTTTAAAGGATCTTACGTTTTAAATAAAATTACACATACGAGTACCTACAACATGTTTTCTTCATATTTTTTTAAAAACTCAATGTAATGTTACTTCAAATGTATTTTATTGTATGAAGTACTCCAAATATTATCAATTGTTTAATGAATTATTATTACATGCATTTAAATAAATTTTCTTCTAAACAAAGAAGTTATGCCCATCCTCTTTTTATTATTCAAACAATATCCCTTCACCCGCTTTGTCTGGTAGAATAGTTTAATTGTCTTTAAATACCTACTCTAAATTCTGAAGCTTTATTTAGCTTTTTGTTTTTATTCAGAAATAATAGTTAATTTTTCCTATTAGTAACGACATCTGTTGACATTTTGATGAACTAAGATGGTAGCTCTAGTAAATAACACGACGACTAGATGGCAGCACCTGTGTGATTCATCTATAAATTAAATTACTTTATTTTTAACTAATAATGCTAATTATTTTAAAATCATATTACCTATGATAATCGAGCAATGTATTTATTACTGGCAATAATGTGAATAAATTAAATAACTTTAAAACCATAATGATCGCATCAATACTACTAACAAATTATTACGTTAAGCATTGGTTTAAAATCAGCGCAAAAACATCATGTAGGTAGGTATAATATGAACCATGATAAACAAAAACTGTTTTTGCTTAACATTTTTGTAAACTAACCAGTAATTTGTAAATGTACTGACTACTTTTAGTTAAAAGCAAAAACCTTTGCTGGGTAATAGGTAAATGGGCCATTCTTAAATTTGTGCCAAATTTTTTTTAAAAATTAAAGATTTTTTTTTTAAACTTTTTGCGATGTGTATCGAAAGTATACACCAAAAGCATACTTTTGATGTATATAGACAACCTTAAAGCCCTCGGAAAGGAAACAAATAGCCTACGTAAACACGGCTGTGACACTGCATGACACGGATGTGACAGTTTTACATTTTTACTGTAAATAATAATATTTATGTTGTTTAATTTATATCATAATAGTTTAAATTGATTAACAATAAAATACACTAAATTCGTTTCATCAACAAAGGTGTTATTTGGTAATATGTACTTTTTTCTGAACATCCAAAAATTTAATTAAAATTGAGATCAAAAATACCGTCAGGTAGTTAATATATCTACTAGATAATTAAAAAATAGACTTTTTACTATTGGCACTATCTGATCATGCTTCCGATATGCTACCTACATGGTTTCGATATGATAATATGCTTAACAAATTAGTAAATCTTAAACACAGTAGGTACCTAATTGAGTATCAAATGAGATTTCTGTAGGATTCACATAACAGTTGGTTTTGACAACTTAAACATGTTTCATAGTCACCGTACTACTAAAAATATGGTTAATAGCAATTCCTTTTAAAACAACTCCGACCACCTCTGCAGGGCCTTTACCGGGAGCTGTCTCAGTAAAATTTGATATTATTGCAGAAATGAGAAAGTGCAATAATTTTTCCTTCGTGGCATCTAGAAAATCATACAAGCGAAAAATAAGTACACTTACTAAAAGGCTACTCCTAAAAATTGCACAATACACAAAATATTTTAGCAAAACAACAAAAACTATTAAAATAATAAAAATAGAATGTCACAACCACGCGTTGTAATGTCACGACCATGTACTTAAATAGTTTGCGGTAGTGACACATTTTTAATACCATGGCCGTGACAATTTGGAACGTGTCCGATATATCCAAAAAACTATCTGTGAATTAGCAGATCTTGTGCAATTATCTGAAACTATACTGCATGAGGTACATAATTATGTTTTATACAATAGCGTGACTAGGGCTTGAATACCGGAATTCCGGAATTTCGTAACTCCGGAATTTCGGATACATTTTTTCCGATATTTCAATTCCGGAACTGAAGCCAATATCGTATTCCGATATTGAAATTTTTCATAAATTATTTTAAGTTTTCAAAACGTTTAAGTATCAAAATAGGTTCTAGTCCTTGAGATATGTATTCGCAACTTTATTAGTAATAATATTAAAGAGGCAATAGGGCGAAACCAAAGCTCCAAAATGTTCGCTAGAGACAACTCTAATGGGCGAAGCCAGCTGAAGAGAGCGGATGATAGAGTAAAACCTGTTAATAGCTCAGCCACAGAACAGTTCCGAAACAGCTAAGCTAACTCGACACTATACCGAAGATTAGCCGGACATCAGTCCTTACGTGATTAGGATGGCTCTCAAACAGCTAAAGAACAACAAGGCACCGGGTGATGACGGAATAACCTCGGAGCTTCTGAACGCGGCAGGTGATAAGCCGATACTGAAAGTCCTTCATAGACTGTAAGTCCGTCTTACTCCAGGGAATAATGCCAGAGGCACGGAACAAATGCTTGGTGGTGTTTTTCTTCAAGAAAGGGGTAAAAGCCTTACTAAGGAGAAAGGAGAATTACAGACCCATCTGAGTCATGTCTACAAGCTGTTTTTGAGAGCCATCATGAATAGTCTCGCGCGTAGGTTCGATGACTTAGTCTCTCGAGGAAGCCAGTTATCGAAACGTTTACACTACCATATACCGCATCTATACGCTACGGCAGGTTATACAGAAGACCGAAGAGTCTAACTTGCCTATATGCTTGGCGTTCTTAGACTATGAGAAGGTCTTTGAGCCTGGCTGAACACGAGGGCGATTCCTCTGCAGCGAGCTGTGAGGCAAGGAGATGTAATAATACGTCGAATTCAACTCGGCTGGGCAGCGTTCGGGAAACTACATAACATCTTTTCGTACATAACACTTCAGTGCCTAAAGAAGAAAGTCTACAATCAGTGTGTGTTACCAGTAGTGATGACACACGGTTCGGAAACGTGGCCTCTTACTATCAGGCCTTATAATAAGCTCAAAGTTGCACACCATGGTATGGAGAGTGCTATGCTCGATGTTTCTTTTCGAGATCGAACCAGAGAATGAGGAGATTCGTAAAAGAACTAAAGTTTCCTGACATATAGCGATCTGATTACCAAGCTAAAGTGGCAATGGGCAGGGCACATAGTACGTAGAACAGACGGTCGATGAGGCAAGGTTCTAAAGTGGAGGCCACATACGTGTACGTGTTTGTCGGGAGGCGCTTTCTTTTTTCAACCAACTCCGGAATTAGAACCGGAATTCCGGAGTTGAGTGCCCAATATCGGAACTCAGTTCCGGAGTTGAAAACTATCCGATATTGCAAGCCCTAAGCGTGACATTGATACCTACCTTTAAAAACCGTACACGGGATGGACGTGTTATGGTTGTCCCTTTTTTCAAATAAATAGGAAATAATTTTTTGCGGCTCACTCACTACGTTCAGCCATTTGCAAATCTAATAAGATGTCAATGTTACTGTTCTAAAAAAACTTAGCAAGGGATGTCAATATCAAAGATAGTTTTTTACCGAGTTACGCATATTTAAAGTGGCGCACGTGGTTGTGGTGACACAAAAACTGCTCACACAATGTTTGGTGTTCAAAATCAAAAATGGTAATTATTATTGATATAAAATTTTAACAGACTTATATAACATGTATTAATCTTGCATTATTACTGTAATATTTATCAAAATAACATAACATCTCTTCAAAAAAAATTATTGTATGTCCAAATCCGGGAATCTCACACTACACGGTCCGTGACATTTTGGACTTGTAACTTTTTTTTAATATTCTTCTAATAGTTTTATGATAAAAATGATATTGGGCCTAGATAATAGAGGTATTTTACTAAGTAAATTAATATACAGTGCACTGATTTTCTTTAAAAATATATGCTATTCTTACATCTCACACAAAAATGCGTAAGAATAAGAATGGCCCAAATACGTCGCATTTACATTTTTTACTACGAGGATCCTCTAGACCTTCATCTCAAATGACGGAAATTGATGATCATCAGCTGGAAGCGAGCTTCACCCGGCCGTTATCCTCAACCAAGTGGAACTGGCTATCCTATTATTCTTATTTTATTTAGGCCCCATTGGGAATCGAACCCGGCTCCTCTGGCTCTAAGACAGGACCTCTGTAACATTATTATTATTATACCTCGATCATAATCTTACCACAGATCTTACCATTAAAGCATCATGGTAGGCCTTGACCATATCGTACTGTACTTTAGACTGATGTTAAGTGTTTTTAGTGGGAATGTTAGGGACCGATTACAGATAATATTTTCGACCTGGGTAAATGCTCCGAGAACGGCCACGGGACTAATCCTACCTCTCGTTCCCTCCCACCAATGCAAGACTAAAACTCCTGTATAACCAAGATCTACAGTTTGGCCCCAATAAAGCCTAACCATTAAAAGTTGTTGTCTTTTGTAAACTGCATTAACCAGAACTTCAGAAAGAATATAAGAAGAGTTACAGAATGGGCATATAATGGAGAGGGTCGCGCAAAAAGCTAATGTAACATAGTTACAAAATCTAAATAAAACATGGAAATAATAACCAACTACATAATGTACGATATAATTGCCTAAAATGTTGCAATCCACATAGTAACCCACTGGGCGTATATTTTGGCAATCGCAATTCCACTGACAAACTTCCACCACTTCATTTGAACGTTAGAAGGTGAACGAAACATACATAGAAATGATCTGATTAGAATATGGTACGAATTTAACGTAACTACCTATATCTGTCACCTTTATAACCCATTTTTTTCAAAAAAAATCTTATTATTCACAGGAAGGAGGAACAACCAGGTTATTAACTGCTGCTCAAAGTTAAATCAGTGAAAACTAAGGAAAAAGGCCCGGTTTTCGCCAAAGCGGAAAGAAAAGGAAAGAAGAAGAGATGTGTTTAAAAAACCGATTAGATTTCCGAACCGGTTGAAAGACATGGTGTGGAAATAACTAAATCCGAATGGTTAATTCAAAAACATCTCTCTTCTTCGGTTTGGTGACTGATTTCCACTCCTAATCGCCATCCTTAGCTTTTCAATGAAGCGTGTAGCTTTCCACAAAAGCATCGAATAATCTTAAAAAATCCTTCAGAACGTTTTCCCCATACAAATACCGAGTATTCATGCAGT